ATTTGGATGAAGTGTAGATATTTAGATACGGAGCTCCTGCAATACAAGTATGCCGCACGACACGAATATTTATTACTAATGACGAGAAAACTTCTGCTGAAACTTAAATCGAAACCGAACATCAAGACCAATCACAAACTTGCATAAGAATAGTCGTAAAGCCCCTTTCACATCGGGCCTTACGTAGAGTTGCGTAGTGCTGCGTATCGACTATACGCCGAGCGTACACTGTCCTACACTGGCCCTACGTAACTATACGCTGAGGGACTTAATGGCGTACGCAAACCTGTACGTCAGGCCTACGTAAAGGAACGCAACCTACGCCTGTTATACGCATCGTACGAATAGATACGCCAATTTCATACGCCGTATGTACGCGATGCCTATATACACGGTACGTAACCATACATCGCCGTACTCCACCCTGCGCTTAGCCTACGAAAGTCTAGCCTACGCCGAAGCAACATTTTTTTTCACGGATACGGCGTAGTAGCAATTCTACGCAGATCCGGTATGAAAGGGGCTTTAAGGGGGGCCTGGCGTATAGGTTTGCTTACGATTGCGTACGGTTGTTTACTGTGTACGCAAGCTTTTACTGCTTCGTCGGACTGGCGTAGGGTAGCGTACTATTGCGTAGGCTTGGCGCACTGTAGCGTAGTGTTGTGTAGACTTGCATACAGAAAGCGTACTTTTTGCGTCTAGTGTCTACGCCGAAAGTACGCCAACAAAATTAAACGTACTTCTCCTTCAACAAAAAATGTTTTTGACTAATTATTTTCATTTAAAATTATTAATGATGTGAATGACTGCTTATATTTTCTGTTACAAAGTTAATTGTCTGCTTAGATTCGCGGGGTATTAAATGAGCCTCCCTTGAAGTATTAAAATGAACTTTTGAATATACACTTTCCTAGTTTTCATAAAATGTACAGTGAATTAAGACGCATATAATTTTCGTTTTCTGTAAAATATAATTACACAGAGCAAAATCCCGGGTATTAAAATCGAATCCTTCTTCGAACATACCTTCAATTCCATTTCTACTTGACATATTGATGATCCTTCCCGATTCCTGTTTCTTCATGATCGGCAGGACCGCTCTCATCATCCGAAGATAGCCGAACAGGTTGATGTCATAGAGCCGAAGAATGTCGCTCATGCTGATCGTCTCCAAAGTTTTTTTCGTACAAATTCCGGCGTTGTTCACTAGAATAGAGATTAGTCCAATCGGACGTTTTCGAAATGTATCCAATATGTGAAGAGGCTCGATACGAATTATTCCATTCCCCTCTTACGAATAAATGTATCTAAATAGTAAGAATGCCGATTGCATCATTAGTTGTTGCTAGGTAGGACAAACTTTATGGCTTGCCCTCCCTAACAAAACGTAATATTAGTATATGCAATGTGCATTCTATTAAAATACAATTATTTGTGACAGGTTAATGACATAATTATTTTGTATCAAGGCACATCACGGAGATGTATGCATTGAATTTAGTAACATTATGAAATGGCCTATTTGATTGTTGTATAGAGCAGTGGTCTTTGACAAAGGCTTAATTTAGGAGGGGGTGGTTGTTACATCCACAAGTTAAACATTATGTGAGAAATGAACTCTTGGGCAATGTAAGTCGTGTTTGGTTTATTCCTATATTATGCTAACTCATTGTAGCACATTCAATAGGGTATAGGGCATAGAATCTTTCTGATAATTGGTCTAAAGCTAATTTTTCGAAAGTCTTTGCGACATTTACACCTAGGATATCGATGCGCCCTTGTTGCTCCATCACCATGGCAACTGCCGCCTCGACGTCTTCATCCTTTGTGACGTCAAGTCGGACAGGAAAGAGGGTATCGTTGAGGGCGTCGCCGGCTGTTTCACGGAACGTCTGCTCCTCGTCGAGCGAGCCGAGAATGGATCCGTAAACGATGAATCTCTTCTCGCGGTCCTTGGCCAGGAGATTGGCCGTGGCTAGACCGATGCCTGATGAGCAGCCGGTGACCACCACGACCCGAGGCTGCTGGGATGAGCTGAAAGCCAAAAGAAGAGTCAGGTATTTATCGTTAGGATTGCAAGCCCGCCGCCCAGCAGCCCCCTGCCACCCCCTCCCCCCTCCCCAACACAACAAAAAGAAGAAAGAATACGAGCTACAACAATCATATTTCCCGGGTAAAAGGAAGGCCTACGGCTTAACTTTTACAATGTGCCATTGTTCTTATTAAAAACAAGCAACAACAAAAACCCACATGAGACTTAATTGTATTTAAGTAGGCGGGGCGAGGGGGGTGGGGGGGGGGGGCACGGAAGACACGTACTCTTGGCAAATCCCAATCTGGCACAACTGAAAGAAAGCGCTATATTTTAATAAAATGAAATGAAATGAATCATGCCCCCTATTGTACATCCGACCAGCAATTTCAGACAAGAAAGGGACATGTACATTTTCATTTTGCCTAATTGCCACCGAATTTCAAATTAGGCCTACAAGCAAAATTAACATTTGTCCTTGCAAAAAAATACACTTTTAACCAACAGCGGGATCTACTTGTATCTACATGCGCCCGCTATATAGCCAACAATGCCTGAGAGGTACCCATTGGTCCCCATGGTCCCCTGTTTCTTATGTTACCTGAGAGCTGATTTGATAAGATAACCACCTGCCGGTGACCACGCAGGAAGGTATAATCCCTCCTGGCCAAACTAGTGCAGATAGGCTTTAAAGGTATTATATCCCTTTTGCAGCCAACCTCAAATTCTGTAGAACTTTGAATATGTCATGTATGTCCTATCTGTGAAATTTAAATGTTAGCAATGTCCTAATATTCAAAATATGCAAGGAAACCTGTTTACTTGCTAGACCTCACTGTCAGACACTATTGAGTGACTGACTGGCTTTTTTTCTTCTTTGGTAATAACATACATAAAATGAGCTGTAAAGGGTGCATTTGTCTACATCAATAACGCACTTGTTGTGATGGTCAAAATTAAACTGATTGAACCTATGCGCAGCATAAAACTTATGACCATTCGGTACAATGGTCTGAAAATCAAGACTGTTACTTATTGGCTCCATAGCTCCTAAGTCGATTTGACAACTAATAGTCGTTATTTTCCCACTTGAAGACATTTTCAAGCCCCACCTTTTTTTAGGGAAGTTCTAAATTAGTATTATCTTTCAAATGTCGTTGGAATTTAACCTTTTCATTTTTTTGGCCTGCAAATGGGAGATAGTACCTTTAAGATAAATCAAAACAAAACAAACAAAAAACTTTTAAACTTAATGAAATATAACAACATTTAAACTAACCTCTCTACTAGTATTACCCCTCCAATCGAATCGACTCCAAATGGGGAATTCCCCCGAAAACTACACCGCCCCTCCCCCCTTCCACTATGCACCCCTCACGCATTCCATACCTAACCCAAGAACGCACATTATCTTTCTCCCCGTCCCACCACTCTCTGTACATTGCATAAACGCTGTCTATAGTTAGTGTAGCGTCCAACCTTTGCGCATAATGATAGCAAGTGACGATATCGAGAAGGCGTACATACATGTATCGTCTACTGTATATACTGTATAGGATGGTGAATAACATTAATGTAAACTGTACAGGCTATTATGTCTACTAACCGATTCGCTGACATTGCAAGACCTTGTTTCCGCTGGCATAGTAGTCCAATGTTTGTTGATCTACTAGCACTGAGTGTAAATCTCCACGTGCTTATGGAGCTTCTTGCAAGCAATGCCTGTACTGTCGAGCGAAACATTGATTTGTTTGTCCTGGTCCGGCTAGTTAAGAATGATGGTACATGTAATGATTATATGGACTAAACGTCTCCCATTATTATTGCAACTTTGTGTAGTGAGGTATACAGAACACGAAATGCGGAAAATTTAGGTGTGCAACTTTCAACTCACGTACTGTTCGGGTTCAAAGAGCCCTTCACGCACTCGGATCGACGAACTTTGGAATCCACATGCATGCAATAAAACGAGCTAAATGTTGGCCTACATTAATATTGGCTACATGTACAATGTATTTTTTAAAAGGGAGATAAATGGGTTTTTCTCAAGCCTATATTCATTTGTCAGTTTCTCCACAAAATGGTGTAGACTAGGTGAGTAGGGACTTTCAATGACACACCAAATAAAGGGTCTAGCTGGATGTAGAAGCAAAGGGAGAGGCCCCACTTACTTACGGGTCCGGACATTATATGCAGGAGCGTACGCAGGTGGGGGGGGGGGGGGGCGAATTTTTTTTCCGTACTCGAGAGGGCAAATACCCCATGTGCGCATGCGCGTGGACTTGTGATTTCTATGCTACTTCCCATACGAAATGTACATGTATTCGCATGTACTGTGCACGATTCGCGTTCTACGAGTAAACGATGGCATAGTAGTCTTCAAACACAGACTCTGATTTGCCATTTTGACAAATCAATATGCGTATGTGTCGCGATGTGCTTATTCAAGTCTGTGTAGTTGTATGATTCAGACCCAGTAGTGCATATGGAAATACATTGCAACTTGTATAGAATGGTATAGTAGTCTGCAAGCACAGACGCTAATCTGACAGTTTGACAACATACTAGTAGTGTGCTGAGAAGTACTTTATTCAAGTCGCCAACTTGTATAGAATGGTATAGTAGTCTGCAAGCACAGACTCATCAATACACAATATATTATTATGTCCTTGCAGACTACTATACTACACTCTACACATTGAGATGCATTTCTAACGCACGCACCAGTAGGGTCTGAATCATACATCTACGCAGACTTGAATAAAGTACTTCTCAGCACACTACTAGTATGTTGTCAAACTGTCAGATTAGCGTCTGTGCTTGCAGACTACTATACCATTCTATACAAGTTGCAATGTATTTCCATATGCACTACTGGGTCTGAATCATACAACTACACAGACTTGAATAAGCACATCGCGACACATACGCATATTGATTTGTCAAACTGGCAAATCAGAGTCTGTGTTTGAAGACTACTATGCCATCGTTTACTCGTAGAACGCGAATCGTGCACAGTACATGCGAATACATGTACATTTCGTATGGGAAGTAGCATAGAAATCACAAGTCCACGCGCATGCGCACATGGGGTATTTGCCCTCTCGAGTACGGAAAAAAAATTCGCGGGGGGGGGGGGGGGTGGAGGAAAATCTCCCTCATTTTATTTTATTTTATTTTTTTTTTTTAATTACCCCCCCCCCCCCCCAACGGAACGAATTATCGACCGGCCAATTTTCAAATTTCGGGACAAAAAAATAATATATATGTCTTCTTACTCCCCCCCCCCCCCCCTCCTCCTCCTCCTTTGGTAACAAATGCCCCTCCTCCTTTTAAAAAATACCCCCATTTTAACTCGGATAAGCGCACCTTATATTTCACATGTGCCTTTTTTCCTAATGATAAGTGCCCCATTATAAAAGAGCCCCTTCCCCTTCTCTGGTAAATGACCCTTTTCACTACGAGAAGTAACTCCTTTTCACTTCAGAAAAGTGCCCCCTTAACATTCGATAAATGCCCCTCTAAAATCTGATCGGTGCCCATTTTCTTTCAACTAATGCCTCTTTTCCTTTCTAATAAGTGCCCCTTTTCATAATGGTAAGTGCCCCATTAAAAAGAGCCCCTTCCCTCACTCATAAATGCCCCTTCTCTGTTAATAACCCTTTTTAGGTACGAGAAGTTACTCCTTTCCACTCAGATAAGTGCCCCCCTTAACATTCGATAAATGCCCCTTTAAAATCTGATCGGTGCCCATTTTCTTTCAACTAATGCACATTTTCCTTTATTATAAGTGCCCCTTTCCCCTCTGATAATTTCCCTTTTAACAATGATACGTGCCCCTTTTCCTTTCTAATAAGGGACCTATCCCCTTTTCACCTCCTGTAAATGCCACTATCAAAATCTGGTGGGGGCCCCTTTTCCATCGACAAATGCCCATTTCCTATTCTCATGACTGACTTTTCTCATCCCTGGTGAGTGCCTCCTTTTGAGGGTGTATGAAGTGCCCCATTTTCACCTCTGATAATTACTCGTTGTACTTTGACACATGCTTCTTTTTTTTTTTCTGATACGTGTCCCCTTTTCATCTCATCATTAAACGCGCCCCAAATTTCAAGCGACTAAGAGCAATTTCTTCCAAAGCTCGCTCGCTACGCTCGCACGCATCTATAAATGATTTACTTATGTAACATATCAAAAGTCTTTTCAGCCTTCCGTTATGAAATGTGCTTATAACCCCATCAGAATTGTGGTTTTTCTTCTTTATACCCAATAAACAGAACACCAAAAAGTAACCTCTTTTGGGAGTGTATTTTAAGTGATTTTAAAGTATAGTGCCTTTTGAACTAGATTTAAACGTTATCGACATGTGCCTTCATTTAAACAAAAAAGGTACTCCTGTTCACGTTTTCATCTAACCTAAAAACCACCAGTTTATCACGCGACTGGAGTAACGTGATTCCACTTACCTCTGTAAATCAAGTGTTTATGACCAAATAACCACTTGACCAAGCAACGAGTTTTTTGTCAGTTAACCGATGGTGGCGATAAATACGTAATTGTTTGGTCTTGTAAGCACCTTTATTGATTGGTTTCACAGGTTATCCAAGGTTGATGGTAATAATCACGTTACTTACACCGGCTAATCGTCTTATTGCTCTGTCCGTGAATCTCTGGTTATATTCAACAGTAATTCTGAGGTGTCTTACACACCTCTTTAAAAGGTTTCAAAGTTGCCATAAATTTCTTGGTTATGATCACGTGGCTCAAGCTGATTACTAATCTAAGCTGTGAAAACGTGATATGTAGGTGTGAAAATTAGTAATTATTAAATGTTTTAAAACACCTTTTTAAATGGTAGTCAAAGTTGCCATAAGTTCCGCGGTGATGATCTCGTGACTCAAACGGATTATTGATCTAAGCTTGTCATACGTGACTTTTAGGTGTGAAAAATTAGTCATTATTAGGTGTCTTAAAACACCTATATAAATGGTTTCAAAGTTACCATAACTTTCTTGGTGATGATCACGTAGTTAAAACTGATTACTAATCTAAGCTGTGAATCCGTGATATTTAGGTGTGAAAAATAAGTCATTATTAGGTGTATTAAAACACCTATTTAAATGGAAGTCAAAGTTGCCATAAGTTCCGCGGTGATGATCTCGTGACTCGAACGGATTATTAATATAAGCTGGGTATTCCGTGTTTTCCATGTGTGAAAATGAGTTATTCTTGGGTGTCTTGATGGTTTCACAGTTACCATTTAAGTTCCGTGGTGATAATCCCGTGACTGTTGGCATATTTCTATGTTCACCAGTTGATAACTGACTGATGGCATATTTTCATTGAACCAGTAGATAACTGGAGTGTGCATATTTCCAGTTGCACCAGTTGATGACTGTGCGTTGGCATATTTCGAGTTGACCCAGCTGACACCAATTAATTTGCATATTGAATATGGGGTGCGTGCAGATCTATGTTTTTTAAACAATTTATCTGAATTTACAGCATATTTCTTAATTACTGATGATTTAGTTATATGCAATTCATTTCGAAAATACTGCAAATATAAATTACCAGTTATTAGGACATTTCGCTACTTCGTATAAATAGTTAAACATGAATAAGGGAAACATTAACTGTGAACTAAAATAATTTCAATAAAGTACAAGTATACGAATCTTTTTCGATTAATTCAATTAAGTAAGTCTACTTATTACCAGCATTGAAGTATTGTTGCTGTTCAACTGGTTGGAAGTTTTACCAAATGGTTCTAATGGCTCAGCTAGACCAGTTGAATTATAACTGGCCTGGATCAACTAGATCATTTAGCCCATTTCAATTTCCAGGGTTACCAGTTGGCATTAAATGGTTCATCAACTGGACCAGTTGCAACTAGCTTTCTCTTCTGGGATGTTTGCACCCCCCCCCCCCCCCCACCCAACCCCCTCTAATCCCAAACTGCTTCCGGCGCGCCTGGACGTAATTATGGAAGATCCAAGACACGATGTTCAGAAACGGGATGAGAACGTCATTATTTTGGTTCATTTATTGTGTAACATTTGCGTAATTATTGGGTTGAACGTGGGTTACAGTAACATACTTCCTCTTCGACGTAAATTTTACGTGAATGAAGAACATGATTCATCTCAAGTCAGCCTCGTAATATTCACGTGAATTTCACGCAGATATTTTGACTAAAACTATCACTAACGCTTCACGTGTTTCTGTGACGCGATAATTTCGTGTATGAAGATGTAATTTCATAACCAAACAAACACGGGAGAATTAGGTTTACAAACCATGGTCTACAAGGGAGGGATAATCACGTTATTATAATGGTGATATTGCAGTGACAATTGCGTGATTTAGTGTACGTGTGTTTTAAGTTACCTAATGCAAAAAACGTATTAACACATTTACGTAAATGTCCGGTGTTTGAAGAACGTAACTCTCCTCAAGTCGATACCTTGATATTGACGTGATTTTCACGTGATTTTGTTTATTGGGTAAGATGTAATTTTGCGCACTGCGATTTCACAAATATTTAAAAATTTCCTTGCTCGCTTCGCTCGCTCGCAAATAATTTTTCAGACCATCACACCCAACTGCAAAGCATGATGCTTAAACAATATCATGTATGGTGTATACAGTGAAACAAATATTTAAATCATCCCTGGTAATGTAATCACAATGGAGGGGTATATACCAATGTCTAAAAGATTGTATATTTTCGCTTTGAGATTTCCGTTTAAAGGTGCCCTTTTTTCTTGATGCCCCCCCCCCACTTTGGAAGTCGCTCGGCCGCCCATGGACTTATTAATTAATGTTTGTCTCATTTCAAATTTATAAACAAATTGAGCCGGAGAACACGTACAGTGCCCCCACTTTTCAAGTCACCCTAAAGTGCCCCTTTTTACATAGGAAAGGTACCCCTTTTACTTCACATAGGCCTAAGTGCCCCTTTCACTTTTATTAGGTGCCCGTTCTACATTCCTTTAGGTGCATCTAGTCTTACCAACCCTTAATTTACCCATGATAATTGCCCCTATTCATATCTGACAAGTGCCCATTTCATTTTGTAACAATTGCCCCTTCCCCTGCTAATAAATGCCCCCTTTTCATATTTGATGAGTGCCACTACTCACCTCTGAGAAGTGCCCCCTTTTATTTTGTACACGCGCCCTCTTTTCTTTCTAATAAATGCCCTTTTTACTTCTGATAAATGCCCCTTCTGTCACTTCTGTCAAAATATCATAGGTGTTCCCTTTTCGTTTAACAAATGCCCATTTTTCTTTGTAATAAGTGCCCCTTTCAATTCTCACAATGCCCCTATTCATCTCAGGTGAGTGCACTTTTTCAGGTACAAGAAGTGCCCCTTTATCTCTTATAATTACCTCTATTCAAATCTGAGAGGTGTCCCTTTTCATCTCCGATGAATGCCCTCATTCAAATTTGAGAGGCACACTTTTGATTCTTTAATAAGTGCACTGGCTTTTCATCTCTGATTAGTGCCCATTTTATTTTAAAAATTATTTAATAATTTATTTAATAAGTGCCCTTTTTCAATCATTAGGGCCTTTCTTCATCTCTGGTGAGTGCCTCTTTTTAGGTGCGATAAGTACACCATATTTACCTCTGATAGTTCCCCTTTCAGTTATTTTCCCTTTGGATATGTGCCCCCGATTCCGTTCACCATTAGAATGTGCTCCCATTTAAAGCAACTATTAGCAACTAATTCTTTAATTTCACCCAAAGCTTGCTCGCATGTTCCATGATTAAATTGTGGTTAAAACCCCATCAGGATTGTTTTTTCCTCTTTAGAAGATGTAATTTTTTGCACTGCGACCTCACAAATCTTTTTTTTTTTGCTCGCTCGCTTCGCTTCACAAATAAATATTCAGCCCGTCTGACCCAAATGCAAAAGTATGATGCTTAAGCAGTATCTTGGACCATGTAAAGAGAGAAAATATTGAAATCATTCCTGATATAATGTAATCACAATGTAGGGGTATATACCAATGTCTTAAAATGGTGTATTTTCGCTTTGAGATTCACACTTTGTAGATACCCCCTTTACAAAATAGTCCCTTTTTGACCCTCAATCCACTTTGAAAGACGCTCAATCGTACCTGCCTGGATCTCACGCCGTTCGCTATGCTCTACTTAGACACTTGGATTTCAGTGTCCCCAAACAATATAAAACGGATTGACGCCCCTGAACACATACATGTACGTACATACATGTTGGCAAACTGATCTGCAAAACAAAGAATAACAGGAGGCATAATTGTATTCATTTGTATATTTTATTATTGACAATAATAATAATAATATGTCTTGTTTACCCAAGGTAGCCTTATCAGTATTTATACTGTTCTCCCTGAGGGCCCTGCAATCATATCTTTACCCCTGTCATCGGATTCAGGCTTACCCGCACACAATGTATGCACATTCTCCGCTCCCTGGGGAGCATTCTAGCCAGGCGTCAGTTTTACAAGCGCACACTTGCTAATCTAAGTACATTAGCTTTCGCATCCTACCGAATACCTATTTAAGACCTTCAAGCAATTCATGCTGGATTACAATTGAACCTTTTTCATTTTCATTTACATTTAAAGAAAATGACTTAAGAGAACTCCACATAATAATCTTGTAATGAACTGGCAATAATGATAACAATAATTATCCATTTGTATTGCGCACAACTTTGCCGACATTATAGGCACCCTTAGCGCAAAGATCAATTACAAATCAAACACATTACAAGAATACGGTCATTAATGAAAACTAAGGGTGCAGAATGAGCGATTTGTAACGCTCATCGTAAACGCTCATCGTAATCGCAGTTCCACGGTGTACTGTTTATGCTCACTTCTCTGGCTCCTCCAAGCAATTCTCCCTGGGTGGCCTTAATTGGCCTTGCAGCTGGATTGGCAACCTTGAAATGCGCATGCTATGTAGACGATGGTCCATGCGTAGACCCACTAGAGGTCAGTGCGTTGACCCCATTTAAACGCGTTTACAAAATTAATTGTAATCGCATCTTTTTGTGAGTTTACGATCGGCGATCGTGATCGCCGTTTTTTCGGTGATTCTACAAAAGTGAGAAAGGACGCAACCGTGTTTTAAACTAAACGCGTAACAGATGCTTGATTCTGGCCAGAAAAAATTAAGCATAAACACGCCCTAAGATATTACAAAATGAAAAGGCGATAAAATTAATGGTCAACATACAGAAAATTAATAACCAAAAGTAATACAAAATATTCTCACTCAGATACTAATCCTAACATGATCAGTACGCCCTACTAATCTTCACTTTTTGTTGAAAGGTTCTAATTGATGAGCTCAACTTCCAAGTCCAATGATAGGGCATTCCAGGCAAGTGGGGCAGCAATCCATGATCTTTTACACCGCGGTACTTTGTACTGGTCTGGTCAACATTTCCCGAGCGGAGACGTCTCTAAGGCTTCCTCCATTCTATACCATCTCCAACATGTAGCTAGGAGCCTGATTTGACTTGATTTTGAGTATCATGAATTTGACTTGATTTTGATTGTCATGGATAGTATTTTGTATTCTAGCCTTTGTCTCACTGGGAGCCAGTGAATCTTACTCGTGTCCAGCCTTACCATAAAATGGTCTCAATCTATCGGCCGAGTAGTCAATAAACTCGTCTCCGGTAGGATCCCGGTACTTTCGCTCCGCCAGTGCCGCGACTGCCTAAAAGGATATGAAATTATAAGAGTACAATATAAACCTATCCATCTCATTTACTCCGTACAAAAAAAAATTAGTTGAATGAAGAATAACTCAATTATGAATTTAAAATTTATAAATTTGACAAAGCCAGATATTCACGACAACACCCCACCCCCCCCCCCCCCCCCCCCCCCAAAAAAAAAAAAAAAAAAATGAAGGTAAAAAACAGTGAATTCCGACTAAGGATTTTCCAAGCATTTTATCAAGTCGTTGGAGATACGATCGTTTAAATTCTAATATCCTTACACTTACCTTTAAATGTTCATACCTAGTCCTATTTTTATTAAGACAGGTTTTTTTTATAAATATTTGTGTCAATTTTGTTGACCATTAAGGCAATATACCCAAGCTTTACTCAGTATTTCTATCGAGTTTTTTAGGCGATGTTTAAAACCTTACAAAAAAAATGATTTTGCACGCTTATCTTGAATTAGACCGATATCATCTCTATATTAAAAGGGCATACTACCTCTTGAGTCTGGTATCGGAAGTGCGGCTTGACGTCGGTGGCAGCGCGAAGGACCACGTGCGCGACATCCTCAGCCGTGATCGAAGGGCATTTGGACCACTCCAAGTCGTGGTCGCGGTACATGCTCAACTTGCGATCAATCTCGTGCACATCCGGGTTATCTGAAATGCTCTTTGACCCCAAACCACCGAGACCGCTAGAAACCATGGTTTCATTAATGGGTGTGCTGACGGCGCCCGGTTGAATTAAACTGACCCTATATAAAACAAAGATATAGACGATAGACTTTATTTACAGGGTTGTTTAAATATTCCTTTATTTCATCATTCAGTTTGAAATGACATTCGTTGTTTCCCTTATAATATTACTATAATGTGTTAATTTCCAAGGAATTTACATGTTTTGTTAATTTCGTTAGTAATGTTAGAAATATTTGATCTTCTTATTAATCTAAGAAATGATAATTTGTTAAGATATGTTAGTAATATTTTGTTTTCTTGGTAATTTGAGTAATGTTATTTCCATTAGTAATATTAATTTTTTGTTTGAAGTAATTTTGACTTGTGTACATGTACAGCGCTTTGAAACTTTTGTCACAAGCGCTATATAAATTTTTCATATTATTATTATTATTATATTACTTTCTTGTTTGACAACCCTACCTTTTTCTTAAAGCCCCACTGTTCTACTTCTAGCTACTTGCTCCCTCTATAAAAAAAAACTTCCCTGATCGGTGCCTGTTGGTGCCCCATGATCCTCTTTTTCTTATGTTAGTTGAGAGCTGGGTTAATGAGATAGCCACCTGTCAGTGACCTCGCTGCGTGGTCTAATCCCTTCTGGCTCAGTAGTATTGACGGTCTTTAATAATGTTAGACTTTTCCTAATTTTCTTGATATAAGTTTATGTTACAGAGCCCTATTTGAAGCTCAGATCATTTACAACCTCATAAAAAATCAAAATGAAAATACGTGTACAAAAATAGAGTAATGTTTGATTATAATTTACAGATAAATAGGGGTGAGCGCAATCTTACTTTAACCAAAGCTAATTATATCGAAACCACACATGGAAATCTTCGATTTACTTTCCGTTCGAATAAATTTCGTGATTCGTGAAACGTGAGAAGAGATGTAAATAAATAGAAGAGAACGCTTGACTGGAGTGAGCATCAAAATGTCCTTGTGCTTCAAAGAGACAACGACTGCTTTTAAGATAATTATACTCGTTTGAAAATAAAAGAGGCTGATACGAACCATATATTGAAGAATCGTCCAATAACTGCCGTCTCCTCACTTAACCCTTCAACGGCGAATTTGGATGAAGTGTAGATATTCATATACGGAGCTCCTGCAATACAAGTGTGTCGGACAACACGAATGTTTATTTATTACTGACGAGAAACTTCTACTGAAACTGAAATCGAATCCGAATCACAAACTTTAAAAAACAGTCGTAACAGCCCTTTCACACCAGCCCTTACGTACAGTTGCGTAGTGTTGCGTACCAACTACGACTAGCGTACGCTGCCCTACGCTGGCCTACGTAACTATACGCTGAGGGACTTAAAGGGGTACGCGAGATGGACGCAAAAAATAAACATGTTTAATTTTTTTTCGCGTACTTTTGGCGTAGTCACGAGACGCAGAAAGTTCGTATTTGACGCAAGTTTACGCAAGTCTACGTAACACTACGCTACAGTACGCCAAGACTACGCAATATTACGCTACCCTACGCCAGTCCGACGAAGCTCCAGTAAAAGCTTGCCACACAGTAAACAACCGAACGCAACTGTAAGCAAACCTGTACTTTAGGCCTACGCTTTGCACAGGGCGTCCCTATTTTCACGAAGTGACGGTAGTGAGGACAATCGTCACGCGAATTGAATGCGATTTTCCTCACTACTGTTACTTTGTGAAAATAGCGAATACGCCACCGTACGCCAGCCTACGCAGATCTGGTGTGAAAGGGGCTTTAGGCTGAAGTGAGTTTTCCGCACCCATCGACCAATACAGGTCCCAATTCGGGCCGGCCTTTGCCTTCTTCTTTGAGTCATCTTCTCCTTCAATTTTTTTATTTTGACTTATTATTATTATTAAAAATTATCAATGACGTGAATGACCGGGCTTATATTTTCTGTTACAACGTTTATTGTCTGCTTAGATTCGCGGGACGCGGGGTATTTAGTAATGGGCCTCCCTGGAAGTATTATAAAGAATTTTGATTGTACACTTTTCTAGTTTTCATAAGACGCACAGAATTTTCGTTTTTCTGCAAAGTAAGGGGTCATTTAAAACTTTGGAAGAGTCAACCTTCTATATACAGAGTAAACATTTCGGGTATCCTTTTTCCAACATACCTTCAATTGCATTTCTACTAGACATATTGATGATCCTTCCCGATTCCTGTTTCTTCATGATCGGCAGGACCGCTCTCATCATCCGAAGATAGCCGAACAGGTTGATGTCATACAGCCCAAGAATGTCGCTCATGCTCATCGTCTCCATAGTTTTCTTCGTATTGATTCCGGAGTTGTTCACTGTACAGTGCGACCCAGAAAAACGAAACCGAGAATTATCGATGTTTTATCATAACTTAATGACAATTATAATTATTAAATGACACATGTTTGTGAAGCCCAGATCCTCCTCTTTCTTTTGATGCAACTCATATGATGCATATTTCACGCATAATTGATTAAAAGCAATTTGAAGGAAGGAAAACATAAAGTCATTTGGCGGGCGGTATCTGAATTTCGAAGAAAAAAAAATCACATTTCTAGAAAGTTCAGTTTCTGCCTTTTCATATGAAAATCAATCAGGAAAAATGAGCCAGGAATAACAAAGTTCTGTTAGTTTATAGTGATGCTTGCATTTCAATAATTTGATTAAACTAATTCGTTTTCACTGGCTGCCTGCCGTAGCAACAAACGGAATTGACAAAAGACTTAACTCCGTTTCGTTGACGATCAGACATAGACGAAAGACTTCATGCATGGCTGATTGTCAATGACACGGAGTTAAGTCAATTCCGCTTGTTGCTACGGCAGGCAGCCAGTGAAAACGAACTTTTTAAATCAAATTTATGGAAAGTATGGAAAACGAACTAGCCTCTTTTTTCTATCCTGTCGTTTGGAAAATGTCGCGTTAATCCTGCGATGGAGGATGACGGGGGATGAGAGGGAGGTATGAACAATATTTTAAAGTCAGGGTAGGTATGATACATTTTTGTGTTACTGTAGATGAATAATGTGACGATACGAAATCCAGAGATAAAATTCACTGCAGGAAAAAAACCAAAGTACAAATTTGTGGATCCCTTTCTGGCAATCATAGATCGGCCCCTCCCATTTTCCAATCAATGTGTCATCGCCTCATCTAAACGGGAATAGATCTCTTGTTTCGATGAGCAAATCCATCATAATAAATCAAGCTCTGTCTGTAGTTCGATTATAGACACTTGATATAAAAGTATGAAATAGAAAACCTGTCCAGAACATATTGTTTGTAAAACACGTTGGAATTAAAGTACACTTTCTCGTATCTAATTTCATACACGGCCATAAGTTGTCACAGTGGCTGATATAAGTATAAAGTAAGCTGTAGAGGGCTCGCTTTCACTTAGGTCATTATAAATGTGAAGCAAACTAAAAATTCATTAGTATGTAATAGGTAGTTTTGGGTTTCCTACGTACGCCTGTTATTCACGTGGTGCCTTGTCATCTTACTTATGTTATTACCTGCGCTAATTAAGTTTGTGACGCTGACGGCACTCAGCCCATAAATCAATAATACAGAAGAATGTTTGCAATTTCATTTAGCATTCACTGTGTGCACGATGCCACTTAAAAATGGCGCACCAAGGACAGGACAGCGCACGCCGCTGATGCAGTCGTGCGTCAGGAAACTAATAACGCCTCGTGTGCAGATCCGACACCAAATATTTTGGAAAAAAATGTCCACTTTTTTTTGGGGGGGGGGGGGGGGGAGGTCTAGCTCTTCGTTATCAAAAATTCAAAACATCAATGGCTTCCAACCATACAACCCTTTTAAAAAACTTTTGAGAAATGAACTCTTGGGCGATGTAAGTTGTGTTTGGATTACTCCTATGCTAAGTTATTATAAGACAATCAATATGGCATGGATGGACAAGGCTACTGAATTAGCCTAAGGTTATTTTTTAGAAAGTATTTGCGACATTCACACCTAGGATATCGATGCGCCCTTGTTGCTCCATCACCATGGCAACGGCCGCCTCGACGTCTTCATCCTTGGTCACATCAAGTCGGACAGGAAAGAGGGTATCGTTGAGGGCGTTCCCTGCTGTTTCACAGAACGTCTGCTCCTCGTCGAGCGAGCCGAGAATGGATCCGTAGACGATGAACCTCCTCTCACGGTCCTTGGCCAGGAGATTGGCCGTGGCTAGACCGATGCCTGATGAGCAGCCGGTGACCACCACGACCTGAGGTTGCTGGGATGAACTGGGAGGCAAAAGAAGGAATTAGGAATCAAAGCCCGGTGGCCCAGCACCCCCCTCCCCCCCCCCCCTCCCCACCCCCCCCCCCCCCCCCAAAAAAAAACACTAGCTACAAGTACAAATCGTATTTTTGGGATGATAAGGAAAGGGAAGGGGTATGGCCTAAATTTTAACATTGTGCCCTTCTTATCAAAAACAAAGAAAAAACAAACAGATGTAACTAGTATTTGAGTAAATTTGCAGTGGTAGGGCGGGGGCGAGGGGGGGCACGGAAGACATGTACAATTGGTAAATCTCAATCTGACAGATCTGATAGATAGGCCTACATGAAATAAAATAAAATAAATCATGAACAATTTCATTTTGCTTCTTAAATAATTTTAGATATGTACCCCCTCCCCCCTTCAGAGAATACTAGATCAGCCGCTTATATAATATATAAAGGCAATGGTGATGATAATGATAACGAAAATGATAATTGGGATAATAATAACATTCATGAAAATAATGAAAACGAAAATAATGTTAAAAATGAAAAATAATAATAACAATAATAAATAACATTATAAATAATTTTGTAAATAATATTGTGAATAATGATAATAATAATAATAACAATAGTAATGTGGAAATAAGCTCCCGAGCTTTCGTGGGTTATCCTGTTCAAGCTGACCTAATTTTGATCTGTTATTATTATATATTGTTGTATGTTGGAAGCTTGTCGAATAAAAATCAATCAATCAATCAATTTATTAGTATTACTATACTATTCTTGAAGCTTTTTATTGAGTCAGCCAAAATGTGTTATTCATGCAACCTCCCCCTCATCCAGGGGCGGATCCAGGATTTCTTAGGGGGGGGGCCCAAATTTGAAATTATGCGAGCCAAATATTGGTACATAATGGTGACCAGCAGTGACGTAATTAGGGGTGGGTGGGTGCAGGAAGGGGCGAGTTTTTCCCCTCCGTCCTCCGCGAAGCGCGGAAGCTTTGCCATTTCCATAAATTATTAGAGAAAGAAGACGATTCGTTGTACCATTCCCAAAATGATCCTCGTCTGAATTATGTTTCCCCCCCCCCCATCCCGCGAGATGCGCGAAAGCTTTTACGTTTCATTAAATCATTAGAGAAAGAAGACGATTCGTTGTACCGTTCTTGACTCTTAATCCTTGTCTAAATTCAGTTTCTCCCTACCCACCCCCCTACCGCGCGAAGCGCAGAAGCTTCGACGTTTCATTAAATTATAAGAGAAAGAAGACGATTCGTTGTGTCGTTATCGACTCTTAATCTTCGTCTAAATTCAGTTCCCCCCCCTAGCTTTTACGTTTCATTTAATCATTAGAGAAAGAAGACGATTCGTTGTACCGTTCTCGACTCTTAATCCTTGTCTAAATTCAGTTCCCCCCCCCCCCCCCCCGACTCCCGCGTGAAGCGCGGAAGCTTCGACGTTTCATTAAAATATTAGAGAAAGAAGACGATTCGTTGTATCATTATGACTTTTAATCCACGTCTAAATTCAGTTCTCCCCCTCCCGCGCGAAGCGCGGAAGCTTTCACGTTTCATTAAATCATTAGCGAAATAAGACGATTCGTTGTACCGTTAAGACTTTTAATCCTTGTCTTAATTCAGTCCCCCCCCCCCCCTCCCACGCGAAGCGCGGAAGCTTTTACGTTTCATTAAATCATTAGAGAAAGAAGACGATTCGTTGTACCGTTCTCGAGTCTTAATCCTTGCCTGAATTCAGTTCCCCCCCCCCCCCCGTTTCGACGTCTCATTAAGTTTTTAGAGAATGAAGACGATTCGTTGTTCCGCTCTCGAAAATAATTTAGTTTCCCCCACCCGCGCGAAGCGCGGAAGCTTTTACGTTTCATTAAGTCATTAGCGAAAGAAGACGATTCGTTGTATACCTTTATGATTTTTAATCATCGTCTAAATTCAGTGTCCCCCACCCGCGCAAAGCGCGGAAGCTTTTACGTTTCATTAAATCATTAGAGAAAGAAGACGATTCGTTGTACCGTTCTCGACTCTTAATCCTTGTCTGAATTTCAAATATTTTCTTTGTCTATTCCCTTTTCTTCTTACGTCCTCTTCCTTTTCACTCCTCTCTTTTTTTTTGGCCAGCGTTTATGGGGTCAACCCCACCACCCCCTGGCTACGCCCCTGCGGACAGATGAACATATGTTGATACCTTGTCCGCCCGGAAGCTCAGTGTTTTAAGGACTTAATTTACGGTCAAATTAGCATTCAGGGGTCCGCCTTAGGTCCCTAGGCGGGGTCCAGGGGCAGAGCCCTGGAAGTTCAGGAGTTTTAGGCATTTAATTACGGTCAGATGAGCATTATTTTGATACCTAATTGATACAGTGGCAGGTCACTAATTGGCTTTGGGTTCAGGGGGCGGAGCCCCGGAATCTCAAGGGTTTAGGCACTCAATTACGGTCAGATGAGTATCAAGGGGCCCGCCTAAGGGCTTTTGGTTGGGTCCAGGGGGCAGAGCCCGGAAGCTCAGGGGTTTTAGGCGTTTAATTACGGTCAGATGAGCATTTCTGATACCTTATTATGTGTGACACTGGCAGGACACTATCAGGGGTTTTAGGCATTAAATGACCGTCAGATGAGCATCTAATAAAGGGCCCGCCTTAGGGCCCTAGGTAGAATCCAGGGGGCAGAGCCCTTGGGGTCTTAGGCATTTAATCATGGTCAGATGAGCATATTTTGATACCCCATTATAATGTGACACTGGCAGTTAACTATTTTTTCTTTCTCGCTCTCTTTCTTTCTATATTTCTCTTTAATATATTTTTTCAAAGAAAGTGTGGGGGGGGGGGGGCTCGAGGATCCCGATCCCCGCCGTTCCGCGGTCCCTGCTATGTAGGTATCTCAAGAAGCATTTTCTTGCCTGGCTGTAAATTTAGGAATTTGTCATTTTCCAACAAACGCATTAAGTGAGGAAAAATCTCGGAAAATTATCTCATTTCAGCATTATTTGTAAACCACCGTTATGGAATTAGAAATAAACCACGTTTGAATTCTATTTCTCCAAAGCCCCCCCCCCTCCCCTATTAGTACGCCAGTGCCCCTCCCCCCCCCCCCCCCCCTCCTTCGATCTTCACCTTGTTGGCGGGAAAATTGCAACTGATATCCCTTACCTTTCTTCCTTCTCTTTTTTTTTCTTTCCCTTTCTCTCCTCTTTCCCTTTCCCTTCCCTTCCGTATCTCTCTTTTAGGTTTGCGGGGGGGGGGTGTAGGGGCAAGGTCATTTTGGTTCCCACCCCGCTTCACACATTGTTGGCGGGATTAACCGCAACTGATCTCCGCTTCTTTCTCCCTTTTCTCTTTTCTTCCTCTTTTTTGTTCCCTTTTAGCTCTCCTCTTTTCCTTTTACTTCCTTCTCTCTCTTTTTTTAACGGAGACGGGGGGGGGGCTAGGGCTTCCCCCCCCCCGATCCACAACTTGTTGGCGGGAAAATTGCAACTGATATCCCCCTTCTTTTCTTTTCTTCTTCCTCTTTTGTCCTTTCCTGTATCTCCTCTTTTTCTCTTTTCTTTCCCTTTCCTTCCTTCTCTTTTATTTTTTGATGGGGGGGGGGGGAGGGGGGAGGCAACAGCCTGGGAGGCAAGTCCTTTTGCCCCCGCCCCCGATCTCCTTCTTCCCTCTTTTCTTTTCTTCTTCCTCTTCTTTTTTCCCTTTCTCTCCTCTTTCCCTTTCCCTTCTTTTCCTTCTCTCTCTCTCCTTTTTTTATTTTTTTATTTTTTGCGGGGGGGGGGGGGGCCAAGGCCCGCTCGGCCCCCCCCCCCCTGGATCCGCGCCTGCCCTCATCCCCAACGATCGTCAGCATGTACGATTGACAATGTTTCCCCTTAATGTGTGTTCAATTGAAGATTAAATTTTTTTTTAAAGTTCAATGAAATATAACAAAATTTATACATGTAGTAACAAAGAGCAGGCCTCGACTCGACTCAAGATGGGGAATCCCCGAAAACTACACCGCCCACCCCCCTACCATCATGCACCCGTTCCATACCTAACCAACGAACTCATATTTAGTAACCCTAAATTAGCCACATATTAAGCCAATCTGTGAAAATATTAAAAGAAGCTAATTTCAACTGATTGGGTATAGACCAGGCGTGTACGCAGGGGGGGGGGGGGGGGGGGGGTGAACCCCCCCCCCCCCTTTGGTATTTTTATGTGTGTAAACCCCCCTGAAAAAAAACCTAACCCCCCCCCCCCCTCCCCCCATTGGTTTTTTTTTATTTATTTATTTTTTTTTATTATAAAAACAACCAACAAAAACAAAAAAGTATGCACATGGCTGTCCTCTTAATAATAATAATAATAATAATGTAACTTATATCGCGCCAAATCCACTCTGTGGAGTGCTCAAGGCGCGTGTAAACAGGAAAAACGATCAAGACTTGAAAAGAAATGTTTCAATTTGTTTGTGCTCATTATTATATAATATGGTAATTTTACTGTTATAAATATGACATATTAGTGAATAATAATTTTTTTTAACTTTGATCTCATTTTCGGAGGTCAGGATTTTATTCTAAGGGTCAGTATAGTTATTCTATGTCATCTTCTTTCGTAATCCCGTGCATTTTGACACCAAGATCATCTCTATATATGCCATATTTTGTTGCTGAAATACAATTTTTAGTGATTGAGGCAGAGGTCATTGACCTTTGACCTCTAACTAAAAAAAATTCTTCCTAACGCCTATAATTATCTTCCTTCCTTTTTGGGGGGTAGTTGTGCATACCCCTACCTTCCGGCCAAAATCAGTTGAAATTAGCTTCTTTAAAAAAAAATTTTACAGATGAACCTTAATTAAGTTAGGGATACTAATTATTTACCTTGGTTCTCCATATTGTTATACTGTAGGCCATTAATGTCTACTTACCAATTTGCTGAAATTGCAAGACCTTGTTTTCTATTGCACAGTATTCCAATGTTTGTTGATCTATTAAGTGTAGATCTCCAAGTGCCAGTGGTTCTGGGTCTTCTTGCAAGCAAGGCAAAAACTGTCGAGCGAAGCATATTGATTTGGTGGGTGGAAGTATTACGATGATAGTTCTGGTCCCGCTATAGTTAAGAATGATAATAATATGGACTAAATGTCTCCCATTATATTGCAACTTCGTGTAGCATGGCACGTTGAAATGATGTACGGAACACAAATGCAGAAATCAGCGAGGTGTGCAATACAATAGACTATAATAGGCCTACTCGGGTACCCTCTCGGGTACAGCCTAATCGGAGTTTCTCAAGGCTATCTTCTTTTGTCCAGTATTCTGTTGTCATTGACACACCAAATAAAGGGTCTAACTGTAGATATCATTCCCCTACATAGAAAATGTTACTCCCCCTAAAGTGGTACTGGACAGGACCAATTGGTCCAGATTTCCGTGGCATCGCAAACTGTCAACAAACATCACAACTGAGGGTGCAGAGTTCAAAAATCAAAATCAAAAGGTGCTCATAAATATACAGTGGGTTGCAGACATCATCTAATTTTTAGATGAAGTAGAGCCACATCGACGCTCTAGCCCGCCTGTGTACAGCTGCGCTGAGGGGTCATTCTGCATGCAGCTCCAAATTTTGATATTGAAAGACTTGGCCGATGTTGACTCTTTGATGATGGTGGCTGGTACTGGTAGTTGACTCCATTGCCTAATGGTACGAGCAGTAGCGTACGCAGGATTTTTTCCAGGGGGGGGGGGGGGGGGGGGTTAACATTTTGAAATCGTTAGAGGTCATATTTTTTTTTCTTTTTGGTCCCGAAATTTGAACATTTGACCGATCGACATTCCGTTCCGTTGGGGGGGGGGGGGAGGCGGGTAAGGTCATCTCTTTTAGGTCATCCATCAGGATTTTTTTTATTGATTTTTCTTTTTTTAATGATTTTTAAATTTAAAAAAAAAAATCAAAAGGGGGGGGGGGGGGGTTCCCGAAAAACATACACATAAAAAAACTCAAGGGGGGGGGGGGGGGGGGGGGGTTAACCCAAACTGTATGCTTCGGTCCTGGGAGAGTAGTTGATGTACTGGTTTGGCCTTTGACTACGGGTGACTGGTCTGTTGGGGTTGTTGGCGACTGGGATTAAACAGCATGGTAAGACATGCAACTTTCCTCCTATCTTGAAGTGAAGGCCAATTTTTAAACAATGATCTATTAAAGTCTTACAATTTCAGTTCAAACAATTCACATGAACTAGGCCTACATGTATATATGCAAGCCCGATTTGCGAGGCATTTATGAGGCAGTATACGTAGAATGAGGCTGAAAATACCGGAATGGTTTTATTTGTAACGTCGGTGCTCCCTTCGGCAGTTGCTCTCTCTCCCTCTCCCTCTCTCCCCTCTCTCTCTCTCTCTCTCTTCTTCTCCCTCTCTCTCTTTCTCTCTCTTTCTCTCTCTTTCTCTCTTTCTCTCTCCCCTTCTCTCTTTCTCTCTCCCTTTTCTTTCTCTCTCTTTCTTCTTTTAATAAGATGCTTAAACGTGTTTATGAAGTTGAGCGAATTCTTTCTATCAAACGCAATACTAGATAACATGTGCAACTGATGTAACATTAAGGAAAGGATAATACTATAAACAATTACAACACAGAACAACTTAGACAGGATTTTGTGTTTGGGTCATTTAATGTCCGTTTGATAATAGTACTACTCTCACACATAGATAACATCCTACCTAAAATAACACGTTTGATTCTCATCGTTCAAGTGTTGCATCCATACACACACAAAATATAAACAACAACAACAAATGCAACAATTTTGTTTCTTAGCTATAGTATAGTTTTGCGAGCCATAACAAAAGGAGTACTATTACATTTCATATAAATTTCAGCTGTGTACTGAGTTTGTTTTTATAGATATCTGTATATTTTGTTTGATGGGGAATATGTGGAGGAGGCCTTAACTATAAATTGCTAAATGAAAGCAGAAGAAAAAGAAATACTGGGATGGAGACAGAAAGGGAGAGAGACAGACAGACAGAGAGAGGGAGACAGAGACGAGAGACAGAAAGAATAAGGGCACTCTATTCAGCATTTGAGACATTATACTTCATATTTCACTATTCAAGAACAGTAAATTTGTTCAGCACCCCAAATGTACAAAAACTATCAATGTGACCACAGAAATGCAAAATACTAGAAACAAATAGGCCCGAATTCACAAAGGAGGTTTGTCGACCAACCTAGGTTTTTCCGTGCGTCATATGAAGGGTTTCCACGTGTTTTTACAAACCAGGTTTGTAAAAAAGGTTTGTAAAAAAAATGTGTAAAAAACGGTTTGTCCTCCTTTGTGAATTCGGGCCACTTTGTTCAAATGAAGAAAAATGAATTGAGTGGATCATATTCACGGTTCGAGTCCCCACAAGGGACAGATCGTTACACCTTTTTTTCATGAGATTTCTCTTCTACAATTTAACTGAAAATTTGAGAAGTAAATAAAAATGGTTATAAAACCTTTGTGCTACGCATGAGAGTATACTGTGATTTTACTTAATGTATATATTTATCATGAATTTATCATGCATGTAATATCACAGGCACGGGTAAAATGTGCAAATATGGGAAGGGACAAGTATCCTGAAATACTTGCAAATTTCACAAATCCTGAAACTAAAACTGATATACAATTATATCTTCTTTGGTTTTAATAACGGTATTTCCTTAACACTTATATATTATTTAAACTTGACAGTAAGAGTGATACATGTTTCTGTTGCTGTATATCCAAAATACATTGATGGAAGTATTGAGAGTATAGAGTCTGATTTCTAGCAAATTGAATGTTATGTAAAGGAGAAAATCTGTCTAAATCAAAAGAAAAATCAATTGCATCATTTGCAAGTTACTTCCGCAAATCATGCACAAAGAGATTTCTCAACGAGGTATTTACGATACAAATTACTCATTGTTATTATCATTATTCCACTCAATTTAGGAAACTTAGGTCTACTTAAAAAATAATAGGACATTCCATAGTTACATATGAGGTGTCCAGCTATTGAAGATAAATATATGACTCAGATATAGTACAAATGTGACAGACAATGTTGAAAATATCTGAGATCAAACATGTGGAGATCAATCTTTGACTGATTTTTTTTATACATGTACATGTCTATGTGTGACTATTTACCAAACATTCATTTTCACAAATTCAAAAAACAAAATAACTTTCTGTTCTATTTACAGTGTGATGGCTAAATGAATTTATATGGTTTTAAAAAATACAACAAAATATTTAAGCCACAATCGGCCATAATTGCACATAAGTAGCAGGTTTCTGCATAAAATCAAGCTTGTAAATGCATCACTGAGAGCAATTCTCTTTATCATCACAAAGACATAATATTGTATAGTGATCAGAACCCTTATGGCTCACAGTAGACAAAATGCAGGAATAAAAACACAAGTGCATTCAAACTAAAAATCATCTTTTGAACCACGTCACTATCAAATTGTGCATCGCTGCAACAACCAAGTTGATCATGCAGCTTATTAAAAGATTGCGATACCTAAAGATTGCTAACTACTGAAAGATAAAAGCATTAAGACACAAAGTTATTCATACAAGCAATACATGTGATGTAGAATAAGAACTGTAAGCACACAATGACCAAGAAATATAATGAAATATCTATCTCAGCAATTCTATCACTAATTACACTTCTAAGTACAGTGATAGGTGCACACATTTTAATGTTCTTATTTCATTTTTTCATTCTTATTAGTTATTTTCCAGTCAAATGTCATATTACTCTATGATGGGAATGACCTCTCTCTAAGAGGAGTTAAAAGAAATATACTATTTCTTTTTGCATTTTTGTTGTTTTTTAGGGCATCTAACCTTTTTTGCAAAATTTGAATACAGGTAACACAGGCAATGATTTTTACTAAATGTTCAGCAGTGGCCAAATTTGTTGTCAATCATGTGTACCACATACAACCTACTTAGAAATATTTAGATTGAAAAACATCCTCTCATTGGCTAACACATTTCGCAATACTGGAAGTAGCACGATAGGGCAATGATCTCATAATCCGGAGATCTCCGGCTCAAAAACACAAAAAGGCAATGCACTAGTGCCTTTAGGTACCGTAAGGCATAAATCCTCAGTTATAAAGTTCATTCGAGAAAAATACCGCACATGACCAATTATCATGAAAACTAACAGGACCTTTTCATTATCAAACAATAATTACCTACTGCATATATTCATTAAAGCTTAGCTATTTTTTATGCAACATGTAGAAAATTAATTTACAATTTGAGTAAATGCAATACCTGTATCTTAGTTCTTCACTTTGTAAATAATGTATACAAAAAGGTACATGAACTTGTACTGATATGAGGGGAAAAACAAAAAGTTCTTTGGCATCAAGAAATCTGTAATCTCTATATAAAATCATCTCACTGTAAGTTTGCAAGTCAAACATCACTATAAACTCAATCTCAAAAAGATCTACAACTACTTATGAGTCTTTAAGAATGCAATCCTATATCAAATAAAAACCTTATGATTTGTCGAAGGCAGATAGCTACATGTAGCAGAACTACCAAATATTTTTGCAGCAACTAGTAATGAAGTGCTAATATTTCAAAGATAGAATTTCTCAGCCTTCTCAAAATCTTAAATTTTAGATAAAAATATCCATGCAGAGAAGAAAGCCTATACAGAGAATGTATATCAATGTATACAAATTTTCAGACACATTTCAGTAGATACCTTAATTTTTATCTCAAGACCAACTACCTAAAACAAGTAAGAAAACTAGATGGAACTTCGACTGCGCGCAGTCGAAAATGATGCCTCCGTGATATAGCAATTTTACAAACCAAAACAGAAGAAATTTTTCAAACTCAATTTTAGTTGTAATCCATTAACAGGTTCTCAGAATATCATGATTACAAGCAATTTCTCATATACATATATGACCCTTTGATCTTTGACCACATGACCCTAAAATATACTCAGTTCATTGGCTCTGCAAGATGTCCTGAGTTAAATAGTAATCCATCTGTCAGTTCTAATGAGAATTCGTTCACAAGCTATTTTTGCATACATAATGAGCCCATGACCTTTGACCTTTGACCTCATGACCCAATAATTTACTCAGTTCATTGGCTCTGCAAGATACATACATGATCTAAGTTTGGCAGGAATCCATCAATCTGTTCTAATGATAATGCGATCAAAAGCTATTTTTGCATACATACTGAGCCGCATGACCTTTGGCCTTGACCTCATGACCCCAAAATCTAATCAATTTATTGGCTCTGCAAGTAACATACATGACCAAAGTTTGGCAGGAATCCATCAATCGGTTCTTCAGATTACGCGATCACAAGCTGTTTTTGCATACATAATGAGCCCTGTGACCTTTGACCTCGTGACCCCAAAATCTAATCAGTTCATCGGCTCTGCAAGATACATACATGACCAAAGTTTGGAAGGAATCCATCAATAGGTTCTTCAGATAACGCGATCAAGAGAACGGGACGTACGTACGTACGGACGGACGGACAACCCAAAAACATAATGCCTCCGGATACTTTGTAGCGGAGGCAAAAATATAATACTTAGCAATTCCTTATTAAAAGCTTGCCCTTGCATATTGACATACATACGATATATGACGATGCAAACAGAAGCTTAAAATTGCAATGGCCATACATATTTTGGAGCCTACAAAGCAAGCACCAAATTGAATTATAAGATCAGCAAAAGTAAGTGAAAAGGTTTTTTGGGAGAAGGGGGGAGATGTATAAAGGCTACAGATATCCAAGGAATCAGTGATGGGCTACATATCATAGTCCTATCCCTTAATTCATAACTAAGTAGACTTGAATACCCTCAATTAATTATCTGGCGTCCTAATAATTGCATATATGTAAACTCTGAGTATCATAATATATACATGTGCAAATCTATTCCTTGATACTGCTAAAAGTTAATACAAACTCATTAGCTTTTCCATGATACAATAATTGCCTTTGCATATTGTGATGTAAAAGCCCTTTCAGAAATTCAAAATCTTTGTAGAACATATCTATTGATACATGACATCCAAGTAAGATAAATTTCAGATAAATATATCTACCATAAACACAATGAACATGGCTACATATAAAGCCACCCGTATATATATAGTTTTGCACCAAATCTTTGGGTTCAATATCGCAAAAATGTCATAAACATCATTACTCTTTTTGAATATATCAACCTGGAATGGAAAAAAGATTGCCATTTGCAAATAAGAATTTTGTGTGAAATCATTCATGTTGATGCAAACCTGAAATGAAAATTCAAATAATCGTTGTTTTTAATTATGCATTCCTTTCAGTAAATCAGCTGAAAATCTGTAATCGGGACAATATATGAACCAACATCGGTTTATCATAATCGTCTGTTGGGGCTAGAATGGCATCAACTCTGTGTATAAATGATATGAGTCAATATCCCTCTGGCACAACATTATAAATTATTCGTAAGTTTTACCTGCAAACTGACTTCATTCGTTTTGTTCGTTCAACATATATTGGAATGAAAAAAAAAAATTACAATGATTCGGTGAAAGTAAAAGTGATTGCACAAACTGTGAGTATATAAACACCTTTGTGCCAAGCGTAACACAATCTCACAATGTGCATCAAACATGAATGCAAAGTTTGGCACAAGTAACATGACAAATATATCTCTTGTTGCTTCTACTTAATTAAACAAAATTAAAAACACTATAAAAGTTATTGACACTGGCAACAACAAGTATCTTTTGGTGGGGTGAAACACATACTGCACTTTTAAATACTGATAATGCAGAATTAACAATTATGTATTGACATCTCTGACTTTTACATTGACGGAGCACAAAACTACATTGCCAAATGTGTGTGTCTAGTTTTTCAATACCAGTGACAGCTTGAGTACTATCTATTGTTTTGTTTACTGCCTTTCTTTAAAGGTAGTCAAAACAACGTAGGTCTACTGTAATATAAAAATGAACAACACTACTTGGCAAGACATTAATCTACATTTGCCACACTCGACCCAGGTGAGGTAAATGGGTACCGGGTAGGGTTATTCCTTGAAATGCACTGTGCGCTGATAACAGCTGCTGGAGCTAAAGACAGGGTAATAATTTCCAAAGCTCTTTGGAAGCGCGTAGGGACGTCATGTATTGTGACATGCGCTATACAAGAACTGAATATTATTATTATTATCATTACACAAGATACATGCATATTCATGAACAGGTAGCCTGCCATTAAACAGTTCTAGTCGGTAATCAAATTTACGCACAAGCACACTAAAGAATGTGAGAGGTTTAGAACAACTGGGATTACAGGCACAGGTATTACCAGCCAAACAACTGCAGGTAGATTTGGGACACTGCCCCCCCCCCCCCCACCCTCCCTCCCTTTCCAAAAAGAGGGTCCTACATGGAAGTAATCATCATATACTGGCATCACACCAAAATTAACATAATTTTCTTTTTATTTTAACACCTGTGACATATTATGACGAAAAGAAAATTCAAAAGTAAATGCACTTCAAAGGTTTAAATCAACCATCCTGCACACGATTAAACTTACTTAGTTGCATTTAAATATTTATGGCAATGTATACCATACATCCTGAAGTGAAATATGAAAGTGAAACAAATAGAACATTTACTAAGACCTTGGTATAGTCTGGATAAATCACTAAAGTTCCTTTTAACATGAATGATACGAAAAATGAAACCATTTCAGCCTTCCGAACAGAAAAAGCCACAAGCTCGGCCAAATTTACTGCAGTCATACTCTGCCGTAATCATTAAAACTAAAGGAAGCTTGTCTGTTTCCTTTAATCTATTTTACCTGGAATGGTCGTATAATATATAACGTGAGACCTGCTCACTAAAATTCTCTTACGCACTGCTCTGTTCTCTCGTGACTTCTAAGGTACACGTGTATGTGACCATATAACCATACACAATGCAATCACCATGACACTTCAGACTTCACATCCATCACGGAATCAGGAAAGCTGCTTTAGACAAAGATAGGGGATATGCAACAAGCAATGTGCAAAAGGGGTTCATAATATTTCAGTTGGGAGGGGAACAAGAGGGATGCCCCCTCCCCCAAGTTACTTAAGGAACAGTAATGTATATATACACAAGGCTATTCAGGTGACAATTTGGTGGCTGACATGCATCAAAGCCTGTCCCTCGAATAACCTTCAGCTTTCCATCCCCGCTGGTGAATTCAAACAGCTGAATGGACTCTTCCACTTGTTCCCTGTGTGCACCCGTAGACTCAACCATTCCTTTCGATGGGGGATGTTGTAGGTCTCGTCGTCGATGCCGTCCACGGAGTCGGTGACGTAGCCCCGGTCCGAGCCCGCCATGGCGTCGCTGTTGTCCCCACCCAGGGGAAGGGTGTTGGGGTGGGGAGGGGGTACCAGATTCTGTACCGTGAGGGGGGAGTCAGACATGCTGCCAAAGCTACCCCGGCGGGATCCCGTGCTCTGAGCTGTACTGGTGCTGTACTCGGAGTCTGTATTGATGAGAAGATTGAGGTGGGGTGGATGTTAAGAAAATCAAATTCTTCCTTCCCCTTCCTTCTAAATCATAATAATATGATTATAATAATATTGGGCTCTTGTTTATCACTCATATTGTGACCACAAATACAATATCTTTGATGTATTAATCTTCACAGCGAATGTCAGCTGAGAAATTGTTGCATGGGAAGCATACATCATCTGCCGAGAGCTTGAAGGAGAATTATATTGTGGCATGAGCTAATGCCCTTCTGGCTCAAAATAGATGACAAGCTGAAGGAAGCATACTGCAGAATGAACTGTTCAGACATGCTTTAAAAATGTACAAATGTATTAATCAACCAGATACTCAAGTGTCAACAACAAATTCTAAAACCAATCCATTCCATAGAATATTTGACCTAGCACCATTTCCTTGCGGTAACAAAGCGCTTTACAGTGAGCTCAACAAAGTAGTTTAAAGGTCGTCTGTACTAGTTTGGCTAGGAGGGATTAGACCACCCAAGGTAGTTACTGACAGGTGGCTTTCTAATCAACTCAGCTCTCAATAAACATAAGAAAAAGAGGATCATGGGGGACCAATGGTCACTGATTAGGCATTGTTTTCTATATAGAGGGAGCTAGTAGCTACAAGTAGTACAGTGGGGCTTTATATAAAACATCTTCAAAAACATGAGTTGACCCAATATACATGTAACAATACATGCTCTCTAACAAAATAAGTGGGCCTTCAAAAGTTTCTTGTACTGGTTCACAAACTGATGGACAATCCAGGACCTTCTATACTTACTTATTTCTTCTTTTGATGAAGCACTGGCCATCGCAGTGCGTCTAAGCGGCTGCTGCTTTAGAAGGAGTATAGCGCCCTCAAAGTTACGTATCGCATCGAGAGACAGGACGCTCTGTTTGCTCTCTGGATCTAGCTTGCTGGCCTCTGAAGACAACCACTGACGGACGTAGCTGAAGTCTTGCTCTAGCTGATGAGCCCCATGCACACTGTCGAGTAATACATCGATGGAGAAATTGATTGTTACATGGAATTGTCCATTTCAAAAGATTTCTTAAATATTTATAATACTATGCTTCTACACACGAACATTGATGTCTTATTTGCTCCTATTCCTGAATTCAAACTTATTTATGGCTTTATACAATGGTTCATTAATAGATGCTACCTACATCATTGATTAGAGAGACCATAAATTCATACAACCAAGCTCAATGCAGTTGTGCTATTATACATAGATAGCCAAGGACTAGCTTAGCAAGTTTTTTGGTATTGCATGATATGACCTTTGTTCTACTTTGCAAATTTCACATTCTTTCTTGTTTACAAATTTTGCCAATGTAACCTACATCCAAATTGGTAACTTGTAAGTTTTCCCAATCTTCATAGTAACTTACAAGTACATTTCAATGATTGGCATTGTCAGTACCTGTTTTATGTATATTTCAGTCTTGCTATTTCATGACTTGCATTTTTCGATCTTGGTATTTCCTGTTTTGTGTTTGTTTCGATCTTAGTATTTCCTGTGTGTAATCTACAATGTGCCAATCACAGGAAATGGTAAGGTCATGGCCCCTATGAACTCTTCTTTGAATAGCATAAGTTTGTGAAGTTTGAAAACAACTACAGGGGCACCTTATCTTTCCAGTCGCTTGATTTTAAAATTTCAGTTTGGACATCATGTACTGAGAATCAGATCTAAGTACAAAGAGAAAACACCCTTCTGGCTTTTTGCAGATGATACACTTCTTGCCTCATTTCAGAACCTTCTACATTCTACAACCTTCTTCATGTACTTCTCAATAGGCTATTTTGTAGCGCACAGGATAGACATCACAGTGATAGAATGCCCCCTTCCATCCAATCTCCCCCCCCCCCCTCACCTTTGCCCAACTTTCTCTCAGACCTGCTAAATCATCTATACTTGATTGAACCCTTTTCTTTTTCTTTCAGGATGAATGTCATCCAGCTCTCCAGCATGGTCTGAACTACAATGGACATCACAGTGATATATTATGCCCCCTCCATCCGATCTCCCTCCTTTTCCCTTCTACCCCACCTGCAACTCCCCCCCCCCCCCCCCCCCCCCCCCCCTCCTTCTTCCCTTCACCCTCGCCCTCTTTCTCTCAGTACTGCTCATTCATCTATACCTGAACTTTGGTTTTTCTTTCAGGATGAATGTCATCCAGCTCTCCAGCATGGTCTGAACAGCGATGGACATGATGGTGATCTGAGCTGTCGTCTTCAGCTTGGTCACACCCTCAGCGATCGGCACTAGGAGATTGTCTACGATGCTGGCAGCGTAGGTATTGTGGATGCTCGGTAATTCTATTATGGGATGTAAAAGAGTAATGTCAGTGACGATAAAAATGCAAAGAAACTTATATTTTTTTGATACGATACGATTATAAGTTGAATCTTATACTGTGGCCGCTTAGTTTGCCGGCACAAACCCTTGTCATTCGCTATGCGTAATAGTGTCTGCATTCCATGCCATGCCAATTCTATAGATTTTTTTTTATAGATTTCTATAGAAGTATTTTTGTGAAGAATTCTATAGATTTTTGAAATAGAATTCTATAGAAGTATTTTTGTAAAGAATTCTATAGACCATTTTTTACCAGTTGAAAAACCAGTTCATTATTCAGTAGCGACCAGCAATCAATTGATAATTAATCAATATTGCATGGCATACATATAATGTCTCATTTTCTCACCACCTTCTTATCCAAAAGTGTTTCTATGTCTACAATATTCTTACCATCGGTAGTCTTCTTCCGCCAGACCTTTCCCATCGGCATAGCCTTAGGCCAGAACTCGTCGCTGATCTTCAAGCAATCTCTACAGAACTGCCTGCTACAGTGACTAGACAAACCCTGTTAGGAAGAACATTGTAATCCAACTTTAATATCCAGCTGAATGTTTCAGAATTTTTGTTAAAGGTATAGACCAGTTTTCACAATGCGATTAAATGACCAGAACTGGTCTATACCTTAAAGTCTAATTTATATTCAGCATGTATTTGTAGGTTGAGGTGTAGAATGAAAAACTACAGAATTAAAAATGGAGGAGGGAAAACCCCAACCATGCATTTAATGTACAAGCCTCTGAAGGTTAATCTATACAATTACACGGTTGTCTGCAGAGAGCGAGATTTTTTATAATGATAGGAGTTTTAAAGCGCCATTCTAAATGCTCAGACAATTTATAAAGAGATAACAGAGAAGGTTTAGTGCTAGTTAAGGACAAATATTTTGAGCTTTCTCATTCATCATCTTCCCATATGTGAAAGAATATCATATTATTAAACAGTGTTACATAAGAAGGGTTGCTCATGAAAAATGCCCTATACTTAAAACATGACAGGGCAAAATTCAAACTTTGAAGCACAGCATTGGACACATATTCCCATTTGTGTACCTCCGGTTCTATGTGCAGTTCTTTTCACTGTATGGGATTTCCAACAATACTGACTGGCACCTTATTATTATTAATAATATTATTATGATTTCAAAACCTCACAAAATAAAAATTAATACAAGTTACTTCCATAACAGTGGATTTTCCTATCAACCGTCCATCAAATTGATTAAATATTCATTTCAAATAGCGTTGATACAAAATTCAAAGTTATGACCTTTTATGCCATTTACAAACACATGTAAAATTAAATATTTCATAAAGTTGATAAAAGGTTGATAGGAAAATCAAATGCTGGAGAGACTGTCATATAAGTTAAAATATCATATCCTTCATTTGTATTTTCTTATTAAAATGTCTATAATTTTTTTCTTCAAAATTTAAATTCTCTGTAAAAGTAATTCCATAACACTCGGCATCGCCCTAATACAACTTGATCTGTAAACTGATGCCTTACTTGCAGTCTGCTAAGTTCAGTATTGAGTCTATGATGCAGAGACTCCATGTGAGAGTTGAAGTTAGCGACCGCAATCTGAGGTTGCTGACGCCGGGGGCTTACGGGGCCTTGGGTTGTGGAGAGTACAGAACGTAATGCTGGAAGGAGCTTCAGCGTGGCCATGGCATGGTCATTCACAACCTGAGAGGAAAAAAATCATGACAGTCGACATTTTAGCTGCTGAAGCCAGGCCTAAGCTAAATATACCAGTTGGATGACAATTGCTCCATGTCAATTTTCAATACTAACTAAATTCTCCATTTCAAACCTAGATGCTTGACCCTAATCCTGACCTAATATCTGATTGCAACAAAATAAAGCCTGAAGAAAATGTAACTAAAGCAAATACATGGATCAGGTCACCAAACTGATGCCTACTTTTAAGACAAGAAATATTTTCAGCTAAATTAAGAAATCAACTACCTTAATTTGATATAATTTTATCATCTGTAAAACCTTATCATGAAATGGAAAAATATATATACCAAACAAATCTCAGAGAGAGTATAAATTGAAAAAGAAATGGTTTAACTTTAGAAAATATTTTGAGAGTGTTGGAAATGTGCCAACACAAGCATGATCATGTATTTTATGTTTGGTATTTGTTATATATATTTAAAGTACTAATTTTGTCATAAATGTTTGTTTTTATCTGCCACAAAGTTTTCGGCCGTGATGATTATTATCTGTGTTAAGCCATTATGTATGGAAATTGTTTCTTTCTTAATTATTTGTATATAGTATATGGATATACTGTATATGGTGGAATTTGTTTTGAAAATAAAGAACCCTGTGGAAGGGGAAAAAAAAGTAAAACAAATAATCCAAAGTCTAGCATGCAATAGCAACAGATCATGAATACAAGGCAAATTATGCCGATAAATACACTGCTATCCTTTAAATTGTATCCCTAAAATAATAGATAAAATAAATATTGTTTATAAAAATAACTATAATAATAATTATAATAATAAAATAAAATAATAATAACTGGAAAAAGGAAACCCCCTACATGACAGTACATTTAAAACTCACCCTTAGATCCCCATATGATATGAGCAAGAATGGGCCCACCGTCCAGTTAGCAAGGAAGTCCTGGCTCTTGAACTGGCACCACTGGGCAGCGGTTCCTAGACTGACCGCTAGTCTGGTCAGAGCCTGGACCACCCCAGCCTGGCAGTAGGAGACCTGGGCTTGCGCTCCATGGATCAGGAAGTTCAGACCATTCTTGCCTGGAAAGATGAAGATTGCAAAGAGAAAAGACAAAGGAGAATTAGTATTTCACACATCCAAAACGAATGCATAGTTCTGTCTTTTGATATTTGTTAATGAGAAAATTCTTCAAAGCAGAAAATGTACATGGTACATACAACCATGTATGTCCCCCAAAAAGCTCACAGCTAAATTGTGTTGGGATATTTTGGTCCAACAATTCTATTTCCATTTTTGTTGGTGAGTTCACATGAAAAAACGATGCACACATCCAAAGAAAACATTATTTGCACTTTGTTGGAAATTTCACCCCAAAATTCAACAAACTGGAAAACATGCTCACATCAAAAAAAGAACATAATTGCCACTTTGCTGGAAATTTCACATAAAATTCAACAAACTGAAAAAGATGTTCACATCCAAAGAGAACATTATTTCCACTTTGTTGGACAAAATTCAACAAACTGGCAAACATGTTCACATCCAAAAAGAACGCAATGTCGTATTCATGAAATTCAACACAGTGGAAAATGTGCATATCTAAAAATAACACGAGCTCGTGTTGTGGAATTTTTATACAGAATTCTGCAAAGTGAAAGACGTAAAGACCAACATGTCCAAAACACAATTTTTTACTTTTCTGCTATTAAAGTGGAACTGTATGTGCATACATGTATAATAATAATAATAATAATAATAATAATGTTCAATTCTTATATAGCGCATATTACAAAATTGTCTCTATGCGCTTAGATACAAGAGAGAGAGAGAGAGAGAGAGAGAGAGAAGAGAGGAAAGATATGAAGAATATTGAGCTTTCACCATTTAGCAATTAAAATTATCAAATCAATTACAAAATTCACATGTTTACTATATAAATTTAAATTTAAAACTGGCATGATCAAAACAGATATGTTTTTAAGTCGAATTTAAATATGTCCAAAAGTCTCTAGTTATTCTGCTCATAAAACTCTATGAAATGCACATAAAAAATATACATAAAAAAAGAACATCATTTCACTTTGTTGTTGTTGTAGTATGGCCTTAAATATCACAGTTGTACATTCATGTAAAATCAACATGTGGAAAACTTCCGGAAATCCAAACTGAACAGACTTGTCTTTATATGCACTTTCATTCAAAATTCAACAAAGTAGAAAACAAACATTCATCCACCGATAATGCACATTTGTCTTGTGGAACTTTGATATGAAATTCAACAAAGCAGAAAACAGGCATTCATCCACTGATAAGGCATATTTGTCTCTAGTACTTTCATCTAAAATTCTAACCAGTGGGAGATATGCATCAGCTGAAAAAGCAAATCATCTGCGCACATCCAGAAGGGCTTCAACTCTAGATGGGAAATGATATATGACTTAAAGCCCCTCTGACTATTGAGATATGAAATATCTCCGCATAATTCATGTTTTCTGTAGTTTAATGCATTAAAGGTAAAGACCAGTTATGGTTATGCGATTGCATTGTGAAAGAAACGTTGTGGAATCGATCAAAAAAGGTTGATCATCTAGCATCTAGCATCTGCAAGGTTCTGGAATCATCAAAATGATAAGAAATTTGGCCCATTCTTCGTAAAGTTACAAGCACTATACACAGAAAGATGTATATGGGACTACCCTATATCTCTCACAGACCATGAGAGAAACAAATTTACCAAATATATGAATTAGCAGGCGGTTTCCCGGCAAATTTTTTATCATTATTGTATTAGTCAAAACATATTCTTTCACATGATTGGTAATGAGAGCTTCCATTTCATTTTTTGAAATTGGGGCGTTTCCAATACTGGTCTTTACCTTTAAGCATTCGTTCCCCCTTCACATTGAGCCCAGACTAGACTTTCCACAAAATTCATTTTTAGATTTAAATTGTGTTTCAAAACATGTATCCTATTGACAACATGCAGGCATCCTTGTACACACATACTATTCAGCTATTCACACCCATGTCAAGAGTTTCTATCTAAATGCATTAACATCGTTCATATTACAAGCAACCTTTAACTAAAGCGTCTCCTTTAACGATCTGACATTCAAGAGAGATTCTCTCGGGTTACGATGACAACCGAGAATTACATTATTAAGAACTGTGCCGTCCTCATTGTTGAGCCACGACGATCGGTGGAGCAGCAGCATTCTGGCAAAATTTGCATGAATGCGGAAAAGCCGGATCAAAGAAAATATTTGATATAACGGAGAAAATGTAACTTTAATCTAAATCAACAGCATCTATAATATGATAATAATGAAAATTAGAAAGAGGTGCAGGCATCTCTAGCTACCCCTAGAGATCGTGGTGTAGGCCCTGGGAACCAGTGATGGAAGAAAGGGGCGATGCTACTGATCTCCACGGATAAAAGAACCCCGGGAATACGAAGATGACGTGGGAAAGTGGAAAGGGAATCCAATCAGAAATATGCATCAAGGGATAAATCATATGAATAATCATAATCAAGATTCATTATAGGTGTGCTGTATATATACATGCCTAAGGAACTCATCTTCTTCCTCCTTAGTACTCTCTTTTGCCCTTCCTCTATTTATCTCTCTCTCTCTCTCTCTCTCTCTCTCTCTCCCTGATTTTGTATACACCATGCATGTTGCATGCATGTTGCCATGTTGTTAGCTGCTTTCTCACAATTGTGTATGTCTCTTTTTTATCTTTATCTATCTTTCTCACTGTATCTCTCTTTCTCTTTCTCTGTCTTATCCACCCCTCCCCCTCTCTCTCTGTCTCTCTGTCTCTCTCTGTCTCTCTCTCTCTCTCACTGATTTTGTACATATATACATAATGCACATTGCTGGATGCTTTCCTGTGATTGTGTATTTCATTGCCTCTTTCTCTATATCTCTCTGTTTCTCATTCTCCCTGTTTACCCCCCCCCCCCCCCCTTCTCTCTATCTCTTTCTCCCTCCCCCCTCTCTCTCTCTCTCCCCCCCCCCCCTCTCTCTCTCTCTCTCTCTCTCTCTCTCTCTCTCTCTCTCTCTCTCTCTCTTACAGTGCCTTGAAAGAGAAAAACATTTCCCTTGCCTCAAATTCAATTCCTTGCTTCACGCTCAAATGTACACCACCTAGTAAAATCTCTCCTTTTTCGTTCACTGCACATACCGGTACAAAAGATTGCAGAGTACAAAATACAGGGTTGGCATATTCAGCTCACAACTCATACAAATGGATAAACTTCAGTCAAAATTGCAGTGTTTTACCGTATTCATATCACCTGAGACATTTCATGCAGTGTAACAGAACAAATTACATTCCTCATGTCATTCATCAAAATGATACAATAAATGTAAAAAAAAATTGATGATTGATTGAATAGGTAGGGCTCTAAGTGAACCATGATTAAATTATTTACAATTTTCACAATTATTTGAGTCTTAAGTGATTGCTTCTTTCGATGCAAGACTGAACTGACTATATCTCACAGTATACTTCATTACCGTATTTGCCGGCGTAAAGGCCGCAGTATTTTTGGAAGAGAAAATATCAAAAAGTCGGGTGCGGCCTATGCGACGAAAGAGTAAAAAAAAAAATTAAAAGCCCAAAGTACATTAACATCCATCGACGTGACAGGGACACTTTTCCATTATAATTCTTCAAGAAAAACATTAAGAGACTGAGTTCTGGTAAAGATGAAAATATAAATTTGTGCGATGTCTCATACTTGTTAAGTCATTTTGGAAGAACATCCTGGTTGAAATGTCATTTGAATTCCTCATATTCCTCATATGAGACATAGCTGTAAAGTTAGCAGTTGACATATCCTGCCCCAAAATCAAATTTTCAGTTTCTGAATATTTTAAGTTGGCAAAGCAAATGATCAAACTTGATAACTGACTATAATGAAATATAACCAGAACAGATATATATAATCATCAAATAGAGGTGGCCTTTGCCAGGGGAGGGGACTATCACCTTGGGTTTGAACCCAGAATCTCACGCTTACAAGACCAGACCCCTGCTCTACCACTAAGCCATCAAGCTTCCTTCAGACTTTAGGCTCATCCATTTCAATTTTGTTTAACGACTTGAATTCATCCGAGGACAATGTTGATGCTTCAAGCCAAGTAATAACATACACTTTCATTAGTAGATGAGTGTAATGGTAGTTGCACACCATTCTCCCTCGGCCTTTTGCCTTTCTTTCTTTTCCAGGTCATTGTCTCATCTTCCTTGAGAAATATGATTGTTATTGAAACTTTTCCCATAAAGACGGGATTCATTTAACAAAGAGCAAATGTCAAAATGCTCAAAATACAAAAGGACTGGTGCAAATTAAATGCCCCAAAGCCACTTATCAACAGCTACTTCCTGTAGCACTTCAGGTAGGAATTCTATTATTCTTCTTTGAGGCATGTATTTTCCTCATTACAATCTTTTATTAAAAATTTGAAGAGCCCCTACAGGTTATAAAAGGAAACATTTTGAGGGTGGCTTGCAGAAATTGTCATAGCAACGAGATACCTTTGTTAAATTGGGTTGAAAACCTATGACAAGAATTCTTTTTTCTCCTTACACATCATTGCAGACTGCCGATGGATTGGGTACTTTTCATTTGAATTACCTGGAAGAAATCCTTGCATTTACAATAAAAAAGAAAATATACAGGAGTAAAAAATACATTGGGACCTATTTGATGTGCCTTACATGTCTCTTGTAAAGGTTGGGAGGAGGGGAAAGGAGAGAGGGAAAGAAGAGAGGGAAAGAAGAGAGGGAAAGAGGAGGGGGAAGGATAGGGAACAAAGAGAGAGGTTTAGAAGCTCTATTTTGGATCTTTTAACATACAAAATAGGAGACATCATTGCTTTGAGACCTGTTTGGAGTGCCTTACGGGTCTCTTGTACAGGTTGGGAAGGGAAATTGGGGAAGGGGGAAAGGGGGAAAGGGTAAGAAGGGGTTGGGAATGGGAAAGGAGTCGATAATTAGGTGGGTGGGGAGGGGGAAAGGAATTGGGAAGGGGAAATGAGTGGGGAAAGGCGAGGAAGGGAGTAAGAAG